ATAATTAATATTTTATGTAAATATAATATAAAAATTTATGTAAATAAATCCTTATATATATTTATATGATTTTTAGAATATACAAAATGTTTATTCAAATCAATTTATTATAATATACAAAATATTTATTAAAATTAATTTAATTAAGATTTATCTTACCCTAAGGATAGGAAACAATCATTGATTAATAATTACTATTTTTATTTTAAAAGTGATAAAATTAACTTTTGTTTTAGTTATAAATATTATGCGTTAATTTTTTATTAATTTATTTTAAATTATAAAATAAAAATTATTTTTTATTTTAAAATTTAACATTTTTTAAAAATATTATAATTATTACGCCATTATTCCTTAAACGAATCCATTTAATTATAACAAAACAAGTGGTGGCGTATAATTGTCTAGAACTAACATGACATCACGAATAGCTCTTGTTTTTGTTTTTGTTTTTTTTTTTTTTTGACCAAGTAAATGGTTAGAAAGTTAGTAGAGTTAGTTTGTTAGCAGCTGGAATTTTTTCAGGAAAGTGAAACTTCCACCCCCTCATTTGAGGCGCGCGACTATTAGGTTGCAAGTTGGTGGAGTTCACGGCGGTGGCAGAGCTCGAAACCCTGACCTTCGCCTCACCCAAACCCTAAAGTTTTGGGACCAACCAATTGGACCACAGGTCCGGTTGGCATCACGAATAGCTCTTGTAACGTGTCAGCTTTAATAAAATGAGAGGACAATAATGAGCCACATAAACACTTAACAAAATTCAAGGATTGCAGTTACTTGAAGTCGTGTAGACTTGCACCATTGATACTTATGGTGGTTGATATTTGGGGATTTTTATCATTAATTTCTTTTAAAGATTTTATATTAAGGATACAATTATATGATAAAAGGCGAAATTATAGGGGTCATCTTACATTATAGTGTAAAGATGGCATTGCCATAAAAAAAATAAAGAAACATATATTTTAAATTTATCCTTTAGTTATTGTCTATAAAAAAATATAAAAAAAAATAAAAAAACAGAAAAACAAAAAGAACATGGTACGAACAGTTACCCATTAACTTCAGGCCAATACAATGTAAACTAAAACATTTATTTTTTCATGTTAAGTCTTGACTAATATTTTTTTATTTTTTTAATAAATATTAATACTATCAATATAATTCTTACTTTAAAAAAAAATTATTGTGATCCACACATCCACATGCATCAAGTGCGCATAAATAATATAGATGCCTTGAAGGCAAATATATATAAATATATTAATTTTAATTTTAAAAAATATTAAAATTTTAATTTATATTTAAAAATAGAAATATTAATTTAAATTTTAAAAAATTTATTTTATTAAATATTAATATTTAAATTTAAAAATTAATTATATTTTTTAATATAATTTAATATTAAAATTTTAATTTATTTTAAAAATTGAGATTAATATGCATTTTTTCACACTATATAGTTGCCTTAATTTTGGTTAAGTTCCACTTGCATCATCTCCTAGATAGGGATGTCAATGGGTCCTGCAAGGTTGGGAAGTATGTCCCCGTTTCCGTTCTCATGAATGGCGGAGACGAGGATCCTAGTGGGAATTTTTGACGGAGGTAGATTTTGCCTCCATCCTCATTCCTCGTTCCCCGCGGAGAATGGGGATCCCTCCTTCCCCCACCAATTAATATTAAATTATAAATATTTTTGTCTTTTACATATAATTAATTAATATTCAATTATAATAAATAAAATTTAAAAAATTCAAATATAATTAACTAAAATTTTTTAAATATAAAATCAAATATAAATAAAAATCAATTCAACATAAATAACTAAATCAACAATTAACAAATTCGTTCAAAACATAAACAAAGATTAATCCAAGCTAAACTAAAACATAAGCAAAAATTAATCTAACATAAATAAAATAATTAAACCAACATAAAAAAAAAAATCAATATTATGAAAATAAAGAAAATCAGTACCAAGAAGGACAAGGCCGTAAAGGCAGAACCGCATATGGCTTCAGCAGTCCAAATAGCAACAGGCAGATGGCTTTGTTAGCAGCAGGCAGATGGCTTTGTTAGCAGCAGGCAGTTCAGATAACAGCAAGCAAATGGCTTTGGCAATCCAAATAGCAGTAGGCAGATGGCTTCGATAGTAGCAGACCAGCAGTGCAGTGGAGGGAATGGGATCTGAGACGGTCCAGCCAATGCAAAGGAGAAAATAAGGGGTGGTAGAAGGTGAGCACTGAGAAGGGCAATGACAGAATCGTAAAAGGGTGGCAATGGAATAGAGGGAATTCAGATGGCAGAGCCACATAATAAAAGGAGAGGAAAAGCTAGGGAAGGTGGGGAAGGTGAAAATGAAAATTGAGAAATGAATTAGGGTTATGGTTAGGGTTAAATGTGTGTAAGAGAATGGGCTGGGTTAATTTTTATGGATTGGGTTAGGTTGGGTTGATTAAAATTGGGTTAAGTTTCATTTTGATTGAATTGGGGTTGATTTTGAGTTTCTGTTTGGATTTAAAGATTGAATTAAATTTAAAATAAAATTAATTTACATTTGTTTTAATTTTTGTAGGGTTGGGGATCCCTGTGGGGCCCCATAGGGCGAGGAAAATTGTTTGCAAAATTTTGTGAGGGAAAAATGCTCTCCATCCCCGCCCCACCGAGAGGAATATTCCTCCCCACCTCGTCCCTATGACGGGGATCCCCGCGGGGCCCCACGGGGATTAGGGGAAATTGCTAGCCCTACTCTTAGAAGCTTTCCATGACAGACTCAGGCAACCCCAAAGGAGATAACCAAGTTTTCACTTTCCTTCCCTTGTGACAGTGCCACAACCAGATTCCAAACTACAGACGCCAAAGCAACCTACGTAGGCTTTCCCCAACCTAAATCAACCTCATAGAACGCAGCCAGCTCCACTTGGTAATCTAGCAAGTATTCTCAGTATCAAGCCCACATCGCATTACTTCATAGTAATCAGTTACTGATTTTATGTAATCCTCAATCACCCTTTTTTATGGCTTCGTGCACAGCCTATACTGTAAAGGAAAATGGTCTTTCAACGAGCTCACCTACCTTGCACTCA